GAGTGTAGTTGGTATGAGATGTTGCAAAGTCAGAAAGACCTTAGTGATAACTGTGAACTGAGAACAGGACACTGTGAACAGAAGAATGTGAATTCAGCACAGATGAACGACCACAAGAAGGTGGAACTAGGTGGAGTTGTCCTTAAATTAAATACCCAATAATGAGCTTGCTTTTGCACTATGTATGAGCCTAATTATTGATGTTAGATAGGGAGTTTGGAGTTGCCAATAAATGAGACTTGCTGATCATTCACACTGAGTGCTGCTTGTCTCCCGCCAAACTCATCAAATGGCGCCCGAACAAATGGGACCCTTGGGACCTTTGGGACCTTTGGGACATTAAAAAGCGAAGGCCACGGGAGTCGGCGACAGGGGACGGGTCCTCCGCAGCAAGGACGGCGAAAAGCAACGGTGCCGCGCCCCAGGCGACCTCAGAGGAGAGTCCTGGCCGTAACGTGCTGCCGAAACCTTGTAGGGCTGCAACAGCACTGACGGTAAGATGAAAAGGCAAGCAGCACATGATTTATTTACCTGCTTTTTAGAAAAGCCACAGCTTAAGGGTTTTGATTTGCGCAAGGAGCTCCCTGGACTTCTTGCTTAGGGGTATGCTTACACCTTTGCCTCCCACTGCTGGGCAAACACTCCTATCTATGCTGCCTATGGAAAGAGGGAGGGAGAGTCAGAGAGAAGGAAATAATGAGAAAGAAATTCCAGAGCAAACGCTGAAACAACGAGCAGAATCTGTTCAGTTACGGCAGGATGTGATATATTCTGAACTATTTGCTTCACTTTTGGAGTCACTCTTAACATTACAATCTTATTTAAGTTCCAACTTTGCTACCCTGGAGGAAAAGAATCCAAATTTAGATTGGTTTCCACCCGAACCAGGGGGACATGGGGGAGCACTGAGGTGTGCGCAGAGAGCGGGGGCACCCCCGGGGCAGAAGCAGTGCAGAAAAAGTTCCAAGGCCACTCTGAACAATTACAGAAACAACTGAGCAGAAACAGGTGGCTCAGACAGCTTCAGAAAGAGACAAAATAGCCAAAAAATCACAAACTATATGGTATTTAATTCAAACTTCATCACTGTAATTAGAAGTTGATAAGCTGCAATGGTCACCGTCGTTAGCACCTGGCCGTGAGAGACTTTTGTGTAACATCGCCTGCTTTTGTAAAAATTGTGCCCCTTTTTTCCTCTCTCAGTGAACAAGAGAGATTGAGAGAAACAACTGTATGTGTTAAAGTTAACTTTGTGAGGTTTTTTTTTTGGTTTTTTTTTTCCTGCGAGAGTATGTGGAGAATGTGAAGAAAGATAACAGCAGCAGAGAGCAGCAGCAGGGCGGGCAGTCCACCCCCCTGGCTCCCTCTCTAAGAAAAAGCACTGGGATAGTACCCAGTTTGTTAAAAAGTCATGATTCATGGGTTTTAAAAATGTTTTTATATACCCTTTTAGAGTTAATTTTGTCTTTTAAGTAATTATGAATTTATGCAGTTGTACTTTTTAGAGCTTTCCTGGAGAAATTATTGTGATTCTTTGGAAGTTTAAAAGGGCCCCTTTTCAAGAAAAAAAGGTGTTTAAGGTGAATATTAACAGAAGTTACCTTGCAATAGTTAGTTTTAAAAACTAAGGTTAAAATATGGTATAATTTACAGCTTCTAAGAAAACCTTCCAATTGATGTTATCTACAAAAGAGATTTGTGGTTTAAAAAATAATTAGTTACGAGAACTGTACTGTACAAGACAAAGTTAAGTTAGAGCATATATTATCCATTTGCTTGTTTTCTCCACAATTTTAATAAGGTAATTTCAATGTGAGACCTTTTGTTATGTAAAACACATATAACTGCATATATACCAATCTTAAAAACGAGATTCACTTAATAAATTATAAAAATAATTTAATATAAAGAAAAGACAATTAGGAGACAAAAGAAATAAAGCAAAGGGTTAAAACGGCCGGGTGC